AAAATGGAATTACATTAAGACAAAGTGAAAGTGGCCGAAGCAGAAGTGGCCCGAATCACATTAGGAAAAAAAAGAATTACATTTGAAAAAACTGAATCATATTTGAAAAAACTGAATTACATTAAGACAAAGTGAAAGTGGCCGAAGCAGAAGTGGCCCGAATCACATTAGGAAAAAAAAGAATTACATTTGAAAAAACTGAATTACATTAAGCCAAACAGGAAGTTTTTGTGCTTTTAATAAAGTTAAAAAAAAAAAAAACTTGCTGTTTGGCTTAATGTAATTCAGTTTTTTCAAATGTGATTCAGTTATTTCTAATGTGATTTGGGCCACTTCCGCTTTGGCCACTTCCGCTTTGACCACTTCCGCTTTGGCCACTTCCACTTTGGCCACTTCCGCTTTGGCTTAATGTATTCCTGTTTTTTCAAACGTAATTCCGTTTTTTCAAATGTTGTTCATTTACATCTTAGGGTTATTTTCTGCGTTACTAAAAACCAAGGACTTAACTATTTGTTTCCTTACGTTTCCTTGTTACTAAATATGTGTTTGAAATTTATTGTTTGCTATAGTAAATATTTTTTTCCTTCAGCTTTTTTTTTAAATAATACAATGTTTTAGTGGTGTGTACAATAATTATTCATGTACATCAGACATGCTCAGTGTTTCTCACAGCAGTTTGCTGAATGTTTTTATCAGTAACACACACACTGACACAAACCAGATTTAGATGCTGAAACCTACAAGCGTGTTTGTGTACCATGCTCAAGACAAGACCTTGAACCAGACGTCTGATAATTTGTACACTTTCTGCCCACATTATATCACTGCTCTCATATGTATCAATGTGGTTGGGACTTACTGGCAGAAAGCTGCAAAACACAGAGATGCTGAGGTTGATTACAGATATGATGAGAAACTGCAACCACAAAATGTCACTTTACCCAACGATGAAGTCTCTGCAGAAAAAGTGGCTGTTCCACTTACAAACAGGAATATGTTTAACCTCTGGTGAAATGGAAATTGAGGCCTAAATTGGAAGATTAGGTAAATATGAATGTAAAGTCAGGTGTTAGCTTAGGTTAACAAAAAAAAACGAGGCAAATAGGAATGGCACAAGGCCTGCAGACCGTACATGTCAACGTTTTAAAAATGTTGTTAAATCTGTTAGCATTCAGAATGTGGGATGGGATGACCCTCACCTACTACCACACCACGTTTCAGCTCTTTATTGATAAAACCGACAGCTATTTTGTGATTGCTAAAGTTGGTTAACTGTGGTGGTCGTCTTGAATATGGTTGACTCCAAAAGTTACTTTAGCTATGTTTACATGGACATAAGTAAACGGATTAAACGGCCATTCGGAATAAAAATGTGTAGTGTAAACGCCCCATTCAGATTATTTTTTGTTGATTTAGATTGAGCCGAAAGAATTTGTAATCAGAATGAGACGGGTGGTTTATGACGAATCATAATCCGAACGGTGTGCATGCAAACATTTAATCTGATCTTTTTTTTTTTCCGATTGTGGAAAACTAACCTGACTGTGCATGTGCGACCCGTCTACTTCACATATTTCCACCTGCTAATGCTAATATGTCAGGGAAGCGAAACTGGTCGGTGAGCGACACAACATTTCCACTAGAAACTTTGAAAGAGCTCAAAATTATCTGTATTACCTGTAGCACAGTCGGGGAGTGCATTAACGTCTCCATCATCATTCAAACCTGGCGCAGGTCCATTTTAAGCGCTCGGGGTTTGTTTACGTTCATCACAGAAGTAGAACTTCTTCTTCTTTATTCAGAATAAAAGCCTGCTGCATGTAAACGTTTGTTGTGAACGGATTGTGCCCATGTAAATGATGCATTGAAATTATTTAATCTGAAAACATTTCAATCCGATCAAAGAATTTTGCACCTGTAAACATAGCTATTGTGACATCTATCCAGAATCTCACTGTGTGTACTACACTGAGACTATGCAGATGTTTTCAGGTGAATACCAACCTGCATCCACTCAAAGGAAATGTCAAATATACAGGTAGTTACCAGTACTTCAAATATAAACTACTTTTTGTGCTTATGCTTGTATTTCAACTTTGCTCAGACCTAGGCAAAGACAAAAATCACAGGCTGTCTATACAAAGTCTGAAGTTTGTTGATGAAGGCACCGTTTGCTTGCTTTTAATCCATAAAGAGTCAGCCTACATGAAGCAACATCTCTGAAGGCTTTGCTTTGCATTATTAGACGTTTGCCTGTTTGTGTGGGTCATAATACAACTCCTGACGTTGTGGAAGGTGAGACCAGTACACGTGGAAACATCTCTAGAGCAATGCCCTAAGCTGTAAAATATTTAATACGTTTGGAGAAATAATTAATCAAAACTATTCAATTGTGCACATAAGCAAGTGTAAAAACAAACACACACAGCTGTTGCTTCAAGGCTTGACTGCTGGAGCAGCACATCTGCATGAAGATGGAATTCTGTATTTGGGAACGGTATCCACATCCTGACAGGAAGACACTGAAGGACCTCCAGCTGCTGGGCCGATACACCGCAGCACCCCTCCCTGCATAATACTCCCATCAACGCATCCCCTAAACAATGCATCAAGATATTTTCAAGACGCCCTATTTAGTTTATTTATTAATATTGTTTTAAATTAAAAAGTCTTGTTTTGCCATTTGCCAAAACTGTCAAATAGTCCCTTTCTTCTATGAATATTTAAAAAGAGAGTTCATCTGCATTTAAAATGATATACAAAATATTTCCATGCCATTTTTGATTACAAACTTCATGTTTAAAGTGTAAATAAAATCGATCCACATTACGATTATTTAAACTTAATTCAGGATTGTTAACTCAAGGGGGAGGGGGCACAAAAACAAGAAACAAAATGCCTTTAAAAGTTGAAACAAAGCCTGTTTCATAACTTATTTCATGTTTTATTGATATAATTTTGAGCATTTTGGTGTTCCATAGTTTCACACTGCACTTAATAGTAAAGCACCTGCTTGTATAGAAATGTGACCAAAAGAACATCCTAAACAGAAACTATTGTGGTTTTCTATATTTTAACTTCCTCATTCAACAGTACAAGTTTCTTAAATAGTGCAGTTTTGGCTCATATGTGGGCGTGACTTTCCCTGTGAACTGATTGTTGTGGCGCTATAATTCAATGTTCACAGTGCATGTTAAAGCAAAATAGTGAAAATGGGTCTAAAAAGATTATTAAGGAAAATTGTTCTATCCTACGACTGCTAAAATGTTTATATCCAATGGACTAAAATTACATGACTGAGGCTAAAACTCAACTATTTTCAGTGAACCTGAGCAGCCTGCAGAAACAGGTGTCGGATTGGCTGTATTTAAATTAATGAACAACCTCCCACATGTTTAACTCATTTGTGTGATCTGAAAAAAAATAGATCCCAGAGGAACCTGACGAAGCCCAACTTAAGTTTCAAATCTCAGCAGATCACAATCTTTATTCCATTTCATAGTTTCAGTCTGCAGAGTTTTTAAATCCCTTCTGTATTACTGCTGAAAAAGAGGACATCAGTGTTTCTCAGGGATTTGGGCTGATTTTCTCTCTATCTCTCCACATTCTTTACACCTGCGTGACCACAGATTTCCAGAAGCACCAAGAGTTTCAACCTCCAACTCTGTGTAGAGAAAAGCAAAGGAAAAAAACTAAAAGAAAAAGCATTCATCAGCAGCTGAGGTATTTCGTGACCAACTGTGAAAGTTGCATTTAGCTCAGAGCCACACTGTCAGGATGGGATTTTACAGCTGGTCTTTAGTTTTCACACATTTTCAGCGCACCATGGCTTTGTAGAAGGATTGAATTTAAAAAGAGTTTTTTGTTATAAAATGAAGTGAGTCATGTCTACTTATTTTGCCAACAGTTGAACTTTTGATGCTTTCCGATTTAATACACATTATCACTAATGTATTTGTTTATTTGCATAAAAACTTCATAAAAACGCACGATTAAGACAAAACCCGACAGATTGACAGCCCTCTTACCAATGCACACCAGAATAAGGCCTGAATATGCATAAATAAGATTTAAAAAGTGACAAACTATCAATTAAGGGAAGCCCATTCACAGCAATGAATCAAACTAAGCCATCTTTTTGCAAAGTCAGCAAATAAGTTTGTGTAACCTTGTGGACTCAAATACTAATTTCATGGATCCACACCAAACTTTGGCCGCAACCTGTGACACTTTCCACAGCACCCATTATGAATATTCACTTGTCTTACTAATTATCAGGTCCAGTAAATGCCAGAACACAGTGAAAGCAGCCTTAAATAAACCTAACCTTAGTGCTAAAGTGACCATTTGAAGACACTTTTAAACATTTAATAAAAAAAAAAAACATAAAATCTAATATTATGCATGTCTAAAAAAGTCAAAATATAACTTTATAGTAAATTTTTGTATCAACGACGGGACTCAGTAGTCAGCCTTTAAAGTCAAAGTGGACGTTTTTAAGATATGTGAATGAGAATGTTTAACTGAAATAAATCACTAAAGTGCAAAAAAAAGTAAAAGAAAATCCCCATAGCATATTTAATAATTCTGAAAAGTTATCTTTGGTTCTTTTCAAGTCAAAACAAAAGTGTCATCTTTTTGACGGTGGGACCCGCCGACCCTTTCGGACTGACACAACCTCAGGAGGCACCGTGACGCTGTGGGCATTCATCGTAAAAAGGCAACTGGCTGTCCAACTTCAAACGGTTAAGCATGGGGTTGAAGTGGAAAACGATGGAGCAGATAAATGCAAACCAGTTGTCCCCCACTGCAGAGATCATAAAAAAAAGTTTGTTTATCAGAAATACCAGATGGCAGCAAATAGGTGTTCAAGATGCTGTCTGTAAAATGTGCCAACATGATCCCGCCACATGATCAACCTCCCCAATGTACACACAGACACTCAAGAAGGCATGCTTATTTAAAGACACTGGCTGTGACTTAAAAAAGAAGAAACTCACCAGCAGACCCACAGCTCAGAGATGCAAGTCCAGTCAGCAGGAGAACAGCCACCCCCTGAGGCCACCACGCCACCACCATCACGCCAGGAGCAGCGTCTTTCCAATCCCAGAGGTGCTGCCACAGCGATCCACTTGTAACAAGGTGCAGATGTGAGAGCGAAGCCTAGATCCTTCTTGTAAGAAGAGTTTCACTTGTCTTTCTGTGTCCCGCTCTGCCTCTCCGCCCTCCTAGGAACTTCCCACAGACGCCTCGTAGGAATACTCCACACTGACAGCCTGCGAGAGGCACACATGGAGAAAGAAGAGCGGGACAAAAGAAATGGGGGAGGAGGGTGTTACTTGGTCGCTCTCTCACTGTGCTGTTTTTTTCTGTCCGCCTCACTTCAGAGGCAACAGCTGAGTATATCCACACATGTCCTCCCTGGCTGTTGCGCACACACACACAAACGTTGCACATCACAAATACACGTCAAAGAGTGCATAAGAGATGTAGCAAAAAGAGAGCAATTCGTAGCGATAGGTGTAAGTTTGGAATGAATGAGGCGTTAAAGTCGGCAGTAAAAGTTTTATGAAAGACAGCCACAGGCATGCAAATACAGAGCATGCCAAGAGAGACATGGAAACTACATTAGGAACTAAAAACTATAAACACACAGAATATGTGTACACACGGACAGGTATCAAATCCTGCACTACAAAATAAGTTAGAGCTTAAATCTGTCGGTGCTATAATGAAAAAATGTCAGAAAAATATTGTGGTTTTTGTGTGACCAGTTGTGCATCTAACCTGACTTTCCTTGATTTGTCTCTTTGCAGGAAAACTACATATAATGTATAATCCAACTGCACCGTTAGCCAAGTTGGAAAATGTTTTCATGAAACTCAAACGAGATACAGAAAACATTTGTAAATCACGTGATAAGGTGTTCTTTTGTGGTTGAAAGGAATGGAGAACTCTATACTAATGTTTATAGCTAAATTAACAAAAAGGTGTAGCCAGCAATACTCTCCATTTTAAACTGTAGCAAAATCTCCAGGAAGATTGTAGAGTACAGTAGTCCCTCAATACTTTGCGGTTCGACTTTCGCAGACTCACTGTTTGACGGGTTTTCAACATAAGATTGTACACGAGACATGATTGGCTGATTGATGGAAGGTGACCAACCAGAGGATTGTGCTCTATACCCCAGGCGCTGATTGGCTCAGTAACTGTACCATCAGTCTGTCATATCTCTTTCATTGTGCTCGTTAAGGATTGAGTGGTCCGGTCCCTGTCTGGGGATCGTAACTCTGGCAATATGTATGGAACTAAAAGGCGCACGCTCAGGTGTTCTGTGAGCTACGTGGGCCAGGCATTAATCTTGTAACCAAGTCTCTGGGATTAAACTTCACATGCGGGACTGAATCACGTTCAGTTGCTCATGCGAGCTGGCAAGTGCAAGGGGGTGAAATCACAAACACTTCTCAGCTCCACATCAGGCCGTCACACGTCTGGTTATTAGAAGTGATTAAAGCTCACACCTCCAGGCACCGCCTCAACTTTGCAAATTCACACCAACTCAGAGTGCACAAATGCAGCTACGCAAAAACTATAATGCCAGCCACGCCAGTGAAAGACGTGTGCGTTACATGTTAGGATGATTAGCTTTAGGTTGGATTAAATCAAGTCTACGGCATTTACACACACTGCAAGAATCCACAGCTTGTTCCGTATAACTCTGTACTAAACTGTTCTTTTGAATGCTTCTAAATGGCACAGACTCAAAGTGTTGGGGCAGGAAAGAGCTAACAACAACCAAATGGGCCTCCCCACCCAACACCTGTCCCCTCTCAAAGTCTGGCTAAACTTTAGCGCCCAGTAGCCCCTCTACTGTCACTCCTGATTTGTGCAGAGCTGTATATTACATGTGATAAGTCAGCCTATTCCAGAGCGCGAGTGAATGGGTCAGTGCATCTCACACACCCTTCTGCACTCCATCAAACGCCCAGCGTGGAGCCTCTCCGGCCCGACCGCCCGCTCTGCCTGCAGGCCGGGGCTGAGAGCTGCAGGGGAGCAAACGGCTCTGTAGGTGGGGGTCACACCACCACACAAAAAGGGTTGAAAGTGGGATGCACTGTGTGCAAGACCTATTTACAGTCAAATTAATTATTCTTTGCCCATTTCCTCGCCTCGCACCACCAGTTACAGCCAAGCACATCTATTATCTCAAACGTGGTTAAACGTTACACAGTTTCAAGTTGAGGCTGAAAAATGTAGATGTTGTGTTCAAATACAGCTGGTCCAAAAATACATTTTCATTTTATGAAATATGGCATCAAAATTTGAATTGGACATTTTTAGCAATTTGTTTAATGCATTTAAACAAGTTAAATTAGTACCTGATTGATTCAAGTTTTTGGAAAATTGCAGCAAATATGAAATAGTTTGTCTTGGTTTTTATTGGTACTATTATTTTTATCATACTTTTATTTTTATTAAACTCAACTGTATTTATTTTATCATATTTTGATCTACAATGTTGTAATTCTTGTGAAGCACTTTGGTCAGCTGTGGTTGTTTTTAAATGTTTTATATAAATAAACTTTGAATTAAATTTAATTTAAAACTGTTAGCTTTCTAAAAGCCATAAAAACAATTTTTCCATAAATGAGTTTCTTCTTCGTCTTATTTAAGTTTTTGTGCCTGTTGCTGAAAAATGACCCTCAACAAATGAAGAATGTAACTGGTTTCACTGTTTTTATTGTAAAATAAATAAACAAAACTCAAATATCTTCGCATTATATTACCAAAACTCATTTTTTTCTGAAATTATTTAGAGGCAAACAATTATTTTTTTAGAATAATGTTTACGTTTTGATACAAACTTTTAAGGCTCTGCTTCATCAAATTATTCAGCTCAAACCCAGTTAATGAAGTGTTTTAATAAGAAAGTAAATAAGAAGCAGGAGCAGGATTCAAAATCTACGCAAAATGAACTGAAATTATTTGATTCAAATGAAGGGGCAAGATGCTGAGATAATCCTAGGAGTTTTTATTACTTCATAAAGAATTACTTGTTTATCACACATCTTATACAACAGAAAATGCAGGATGCAGCATGACTTTTTGTTAAGTCAAAATATTTCATGCTGTTAAATATGAACTTTTCTTTTGTGACTTTGCATTTTGCAAGCCTCCCACTTTCGTAAAATTATGTGGGATTATGGAATACCATTATTCTGACTATAAGGCACAATTAAAATCCTTGAATTTTCTCAAAAATCAACAGTGAGTCTTTTTATCTGGAGTGCCTTATAGTCCAAAAAACACTTTAATTACTGACATGCAAAAGACTATGTATTACTTTAAGGCTAGAGGAGAACATCAAATGTATCAAACCTAATGTGTTGCATTCAAAATAGTGCTGATTGCCTAAAGAATGTCAAAAACGGATTAATAAATAAGCATAAATGTTTTCAAAAAGTTTCATTAGATAAAGTTTCGTTAGATATTATCAAGGGGTTCATGTCTAGTTGGACAGTGACACAAGAGCTTAGATTAAAAAAATAAATCAATAAAAACTTAATGGGCACCAGAATACAGGTGGAAAGGAATGGGAAAAAAAATCATTTTTACATCAAGAACATTTACCATTTACTGCAAGTTTTCAGCCAAGACTTTGAAATAACAAGAACTGTAGAATAAAAACTGAAAGAACAGTTTCAGGTCCGGAGTTGACCCCTAGACGATGTTACACTTTTACTCCTTCAGTTCCAGAGAAGCATGTGGAGATCTGTTTAGTACAGTTGTTTAACTTAGAGGTCAAATTCAGTTTGTTTTGTAGATTCGATCCGCTCCACTTTTTGCCCTCCAGCAGCAAGAGACCAGTCAAAAAAAAGCCTGGTTGTTTGAAATGATCTCTCTCAGTTTCAGAAAGACGACCTCGGTTTCTGAAACAGAGATGTTACATTAACGTTACAATGCATCACGGACACGGCTGAATATTTTTTATTTCAGAATGGGCTTTACACGAGCAAACACGTGCCCGTACACAGCTAGAGTAAAGGATTTGAATGGACTGAAAAAAATAATAAGATAAAGCACTGCTAACCTGTGAAACAAAAAGCCGTAGCAGAACAGAGACGATGAAATTAGCCCGAGCAAAGGAAGAATGCGTGTCCTGAACAAAGTTTCAGCTGGAGCTTAACTGACTCGATGTTCTGTGGAGTTTGGAGGATTTTCAGCAGCTCAGAGTTAAAACTCCCATCACAGAATCCTGGAAAGCAGTTTATTACTGGAGCAACACAGCTGTCTGTTTCTAACGGCCCAACTGGCCAACAGCAGTCCCCATCCTGCAAAACCAGGGTTAGCATTGTCGTCACTGAATCCTCAAATATGACCACATGCATTTATTTAGCCATAAAGCAGAAGTAGAACTAAATGTTGCTGCATTTACAATCCTGTTGTCTCACCAAGTCCTAGTATTGAGAACTGATTAAGAAGTTTCTGCAAAACCTGGTGAGAAATATCAAAGTTCATGCTCAATAATCCAGGTAAAAAAATCCAACAAAGATCAGTCTTTTTTATTTTTTGTTGAGATGTTTCATCTTTCATCCAAAAGGACTTCATCAGTCCGAGGAGCCACGATAAACTTTGTCCCGCAAGCAGCACACTCACATAGTGGACGAACCAGTTTGCTGGTGATAAGATGGTTTCTGGGGTTCACCCTCACCCCCGTCGACTCCTCTGAGGCAGCCACGGCCAGTGGTTCAAAACATCAAAGTTCATGCTCAATAATCCAGGTGATTATAATAATAATGTAATATAATAATAATCTTGTGAGAAAAGTAAAAGTTATTCAAATCCCATCGATTATATAAAAATAAAAAAACAGCTACAATTGATAAATAGGTACAAATAGTCCCAAATTTATTGAAAATATATTAAACTTGGTAGAAATGCCGTGGTTTTTCAGTATGGCAGCACATAAAAACTAATGAATCTGCTTTAAATGTAAAATGGACATTTCATTATGATTTTAGGTGAAAACCTCCAAAGGTTCAGCTCTAAGTGTGACCACAAATTTCAACAATAAGAGAATAAATTGCGAGCCAGTTTTTGTTAGGTAAGTAAGACTTAAGGTGCGGTTGTCTGACGTTTTTATTTTATAAAGAAACC